TATGTAAAGGGACATTTGACACGCGATGTTCCAATTACCACCTTGCTTGAAGAAACGGGAGGCTCAAGTTAACCTCACTCGATGAGTTAAGCAGCCTATTGATATGCTATGATATACTTATCCCGCGAGGCTTTCAAAGACCAGGAAGACAGTAAATCCCACAGTCACGTTCATAGTTACGTCGGTCATCAAAGGTCAACTAAAACCCTGAGATAACTAACTAGCGAATATCTCGCATTTAATAGATACTCTGATAGTCGTATGGAAGAGAGGAGAAAGATCAAGCATATTAATTTGTACATGATACCTCGATAAGCTTGTTCTTTGAATCGGCAACATGCAGCTAGTGCTAGATATCCATATAAGAGCAGCCGCCACATGTCATGCTTTGTAGTATCACGACTCGTAGGCACCAAATATTTGAATGGCGGCCAGAAAGAGAACCAGTCATGCAAGTAATCCCGATCAAATAGGATCCACTCCTAGACAAGACTGGGTCTTGGGCTTAAGCCATCGAATGAAGATCTACTGCAAGTGCCTGGTCCACTCAAAGCTTAACAACAGGCGCCAACAGACATACAATGTAGCATATGTAGTTCGTACACGTAGTTTAGTTGCTTATGCCACAAAGGCGGCTGTGCCAATCAAGAATCGAGAATAACAGCGATTTACGATTAGCGGAATCCGATGCCCTGCGAAGCTGCATGAAGACATATGCACGAGTAGCAGTACGTATAACACATCGAATATGCGCTCCCTGTATCGACATACATATGGACATACATATTACATATATGTATGTAGGTAAATAGGTACATTATAGAACAGGGGAATTGAAAAATCCATATTCAACAAGCATCGAACTTATCTCGCAATTTTATATAGAGGGGTAAAAAGAGATGCTTTATAGAATAGGTTAGGTACGTAATGTAACTATGAAGAAAGAAAAGAGTGAAATGCATACATTAATGCTGACATTGTTATTTTAGGTAATTTTTACGGCTGGGTCCCCAAAATAAAAATAAAAATGTAAGTATGCGTTGTCATAAACGTAGTGATAGACGATAAACATGTCTGGAACTCTGTGTGGTAACAGCACGTTATCTGCTAATTACCTGGTAATTACCTAGAAACCCAGGCCCAGGTATCAATGCAGGCGCTACCTCCAACTGGTACCAGTTACCCTACCCGCCTACACTCAAACTACTACAGTCTGATGTACCTACATTAGGTACCCAAAAGACTTTAACGGCGCGAAATGTAAAAGTCCCCTCCCCGGCAAATCTGTCCACGTCCTCTTTGCATCATCGGAAAACGGACGACGACAACTCTCATGACCTGTACCATACACCTTGTACCATACTAAAATATCCCATTCCAATCACTAACCACTAGCCACTAACCACCAACTCGAAAATTTCAACTCATGAGGTATACCTAGATTAGAACGAACCAGATAAAAAGTCTTGAATCTAATCACGGCATACCAAGCGATTTCAATCACCGTAATCACCATACCGCAATTACCACTCGGTTGCACGTGGTCCTTTACCATTTTGCTTCTACCACCATCACCACACCACCACTCGACTCACTTTCCGTTTAACTCTGATTCTATCGACCGTTGCCCGGTCTTCTCTAAACGCGATTCTTACGATTCGTCCATAAGTCAAATCACATACCTCGTAGGGAACATCCCTCGTGGTTCTTACTATAGCCCTTCTACCTTCTATTCAGCTAGACAAACTATTAGCGCCGAAATTGGGTGTTTTAACAATCTCTCCTTTGTTTAGTTGATTACTTCCGTGACCATCTCGCTCGAATCGTCAGTTTTTACACCACCGATATTCTTTCGCTGAATGCGCTTAAACACCAACTCTACTTAGCGCACCGGAACATACCCGAGCCCCAAGGTAGGTGTTTAGGTAGTCGGCGGCATCTCGACAATACAGGTCATGAACGATCCCACCTGGTAGTTATTCGAATATTTTTGATAGTTCAAAATGATCATGGTGGGCACTAGGGAGTCTGCTTCCTTTCATAATGGAGACGCTATCCCTGCTACTGCATTCGAGGCTCACCCTCAGAGTCTTCATCTCCCAAGGGAACCGTACCTGCAGAGAGATATCTCTGTCGACCGAGATGATGATGAAGATGAGGGCACCGCAACGGTCGAATTAGCCGCTATCATGACCACTACATCAACACCCGTCACACCTGGGCCTACAAGCCCTCCTCTTGAGCCGCCCAAGTCGACCGATTTCGTACCTCCAACGCGTCCTAGTAGCACTCCATTCCCCAATGCTCAGCAGGGCCAAACCGATATTCGATGCTTAACCTGCCAACCATACTGCTCTGAATCCGACGACAGTCTGGCCTCAAGCCCAGTTTCCACTCCGGTTATTGTCGAGCAAACTCCTGTCTTAACCTTAGCCCAATTACCAGCCGAGATCCACGAATGTATCCTTGACCACATATTTGGGTACCGAGTTTCCACTACATCACCAAGTTCTCTCAACATCCCCAGCATGAACGCCCGAAGTTGGAGTACTGCGTTGCGGCATTCGAGGAGGAAGGAGTTGTCTAATCTAGCCTTCGTCTGTCCCTTGTGGAGGGATCTGATTCAGCAACGGCTCTATCGACATATCAAGCTAAAAGCAACAGTACACTGCAGCAATGAAGTTATGGCGTTTTTCGTCTGCCATCCTCACCTTCGAACCTACGTAAAGCATATCGAGATATGGTTTCCAGTGTTCCAACCCAAGTTTCACACCGCAACACCAGGGGATATGTCCCTTGCCCTGCCAACTGTGTCTCCCGAGGGAATCGCAAGCGCAACATACGCATTACCAACTGACAACTCCACGCTCGAAGAAGTATTCTATCTCGTAAGCATGCAATTCCCCGAAGCGCGGGTAATGACGCTTGAGGGTGGAGAAAGGAAAAAGGCGCCACGGGTGAAATTCAACTTGGCCGGACCCGCATGGGTCACCAGAAATTTACCAGAAATTTCGTCGATTCGAACGCTTATTGTCAAGGGCCAGTGGAACATAATTCGACAGCCGAAGGATTGGGAAGTCATCTCCCACGCGTTACCGAACTTGGAGGAATGGCACGGAACTTATGCCAAACCCAAATCTAAGAGCTATCTTAGTATGGCGAGCACGCTTGAGTGCCTCGATACAAAAATTACCAGTCTCAATCTCTGCCTTGAGTGCGACTATAGGAGGGAAATGGCATGTCCTCCTTACTATATGAAAGTTTGTGAGCAGCTTCACTGGTGTGAGAAAATGGCAAAAGCTGCAAGTAATCTGGAGCACTTCTCTTATACCGGTCGTGTCTGTTTTGGGTTCTTCGATGTGCTCTCGAGATATTCAAATCCTCGCACTACGAGGCTTAAGACTATTGATATCACCGTCAAGAATTGTTGCAGGCAGAATGCCCAGTGGAACGAATCGGGTTCGGGCATTACTGACATACATTTTATTGCGGCTTTTGAGCAGCTTGTACTGGGTGGGATCCGGGCCCTCGATCGCTTAAAGTCTGTAGAACTACTGCGGATCCGATATGTTGATCTTGGTAAGTATCTGCATTCTCTCTGCCGTTAAATATTCCGTGCTAATCGGTTCCGTTCAGACTCGCCTGTCCCGCCTCTCAATCCCTATTTCATGATTAAGGACGGCTGGTGCTCTGGGGTATGGAGCGAGGACATCGTAGCAGAGATTAATCGTGTGCGCCCCGATATCCGCTTCGAGGAGATGGTGGACAGTTTTGGGGAAGTAGGCTATAATAAGGATGGTCGATTGGTTATTAACCCAGACTTTCCGAAATCTCGGGTACTTTCCCTTAAATTAGCCAACTACGCCATGCTTTCAGGTGGTATCTCAATCGTGTGAAACCTCGATGTTATAATGTGGCTTCACGACTAGATGATCATGGCACATACAGCAGAGGGGTTTTCTGCTGGCATAATGGCATAATCTAGCGAGGTATATGATGATGCCCTACTCTATGTATAGATGTAGGGAGGGCGGCCCTTCGTCTATAGGATGGACGGCCGGTACATATGGTGCTCATATAGAGATCATAAGTATGTAACGAGACTGCGCAACCGACGCAGTGCTTGATGTTGGTATCTTATGTGCCTAAGGTAGTTTAGGGGAGGGCATGTGTGGACGGATGCTTATCTGTTTTCTATGAGGGGAGGAAAAGGTTTGAACTCTCAGGAAGTGAATAATACCCATTGCAATGGCTTTCTCTATCAACCGGCGTACCGAGTCTCTTCTCAGATGTTTCAGCAAGGCAGTATATTGCGCGGACGGAGTGTAATGATGATAGAATAGGTAAATACACTAGAAGCTTGATCAGTATATATCATAAGTTCCAAGGACGGGTGTCTAATGTGAGTCATAATAGGGTTGAAAATTGCAATATGCCAAGGAAGTAAATTGACAAAATTGACATATCATATTTAGTTCAGGTCGTGGCTTGTTAGGGGGGGGGGGGGGTAATAACCGAGTAAGGTTATGCTCATGTTGCTACTTTCCCATTACACATCACATTGCACAGTGACGGGCAACGTGAGCTGCAAGCGAGATAATAATAATAACATCACTAGGACTCAGACCTAAACTCCTTAATAGTTCAGAAAATCTTAAGGTATTAGAGTTGAGATAACGTCTAAAAGTGACCTAACCCTAAGACCCTACGCTCATTCTCCATCTCTCTACCTAAGTAACAGTAGATACCAGTTAATTTAACGAGTTAGTCTTTCTTCTTCTTGTATATAGTCCAAGTCAAACCGGTATTAAATACCCTCTCCCGAGGTATCATTATATAAAATAATTAATTATATGATAGCGTATCTTCTAGACCCAATTATGCATAAAATTTGCCTGTTCCGAATGCACCTCCATTTCCATTTATTAAAACAAGACCAATACAAAGAGCAATAGGTATATATGTATTGCCAACATCCTCGTTGCTTACTATTATTAACATCAACTGCTCTTCTCATGTTCGGGACTATAATCCAGATCTCCAATGATGATCCCCAAGACCCAGCAATTCACCAAAAAAAAGGCTAGAGACGATGTCCAGAGGCCAGGAATAAATGTGCTCATACCAAGAAACTCAAGGTTATAGGCTTGCTGCAACCACATACCCTGAGTTGCAACCCAGAGACCGAGAATTAATAAGCCAAGGCGCGGGTTACGGAGGAACGAGGAGTCTGGTAGGTACAAAGGTAAGAAGACCATATACCAAAGAAAGTACTACTTAGAAGTATTAGCCACGTATACATACGATGGGTTAGTAATACACAGGGCTACATTATGAAAGGATTCACGAGGAAGGTCTATAATATAAAACAGGAACTTGGTATGGTTCGATGGAAGGGTTAAGAGATGAACGTACTTGGCTCGTGCAGACCTTGTTGAAGGTAACAAAGGCAAAAGTCTGCGCCAACATAGTGGTTGGCAGGTCCTTCTTAGCCCCAGCTATAGGAATCAGAATCGTTGACAAGACCAGCTGCGGCAAAAATGCCACCGACTCAGCTTTGACTAGGGCAGTGCTTGGGTGCGCCGAGGTAAGGTAGAGTAGGATGTTGTATGGACTAAAGTTGTGACGGTGGTCAATCCGGCTGACGTGATGTAGGAACGTGTGGGTAAGGAATGGCATTCCGTAAAATGTGTACATGACAAAGTCCAAGCCTAAGAACGTAGTTAAGCTAACAAGTGCAAGTAAAATGCGATCGGGCGTGATAAATGCCATGGATTTACCCAATAATGTTGTCGGTGGGGTAGTACTTCGGCCATCCTTCCCTGCTTGAGTCTGAGAGCCTGTTATCCTACTCATCTGCTGAGCATCCATCCACCATACAATGGCCGGCGCATAAATAAAGGGATAGATTTTGAAATGGACACTCAGCCCCAGTAGTGACCCTGCAAGCGTCACTCTCTTCTCAAGCACCGCCCACAGCAAAGCCATAACTAACACTCCTAGAAGTCCCTCGGAGCTGCCCCTTGTGCTGATAGTAGCCACCATAGGATTTAACAGCCATATGCTCGCGTATCTACAAGCACGACCTTCAGACATGCGCACGGTCGGTCCTCGCAGCACACGGATGATCAAATAACCAGCTGCAATATCAGCCGCGGCAAATATCACCTTGCCAAATGAGAACCAGAAGGTACCAGGCCATGTAGTTGGGTACAAGAGCCAGGCCAACAGGGGTGTGTAGCGGTAGGTCTCCCGAGTATAGGGAGACGCAGACGCAGACGCAAAGGTGAAACGTGCGGCATCTGTGAAAACTAGATAGTCGATATCTGTGTACTTAAGTGGCGAGTTGGCATCTTGCCATAGACCGTATAATAGCATGGTAGCGCGAAGTATAGTTGCAGCTGCGAAGAGAGGGAAGGGCCGCGAAATAAGAGCCCCAACTTGCGACACCATCTTTTCAAGGCAGAGACGTACAGATAGTCTCTTCTTCGGATGTGATGCTTTTACCCTGACAGAGAAGTCTACTCAGAGGTAGATCAAGTAACTTGGAAAGTTGGAGAAGTGGCCAGCACTTGTGAGAATAGAACAATTTGTTCAACACTGTCCGAGTGATAGATGGTTCTAATACAAGTCATAACCGCTCATCGAACTCGAACATAACCTATACGAGAATTAGAGAAAATATACCAAGTAATACAATCGTGCAATCATACAATCATACAATAAAAGAGATGCGAAGGTTAGAGGTTGCTCGTAACAAATGACAAAATATCAGAATGTTGTCAAGTTGAAGGTTGAAAGGGGTACCTAATGACTGTTAATGAGAGTCGGCATATCTTCGGTGAAACAATAGGTCATAGGCTACAGTCAGCTGCCTAGCTCTAAGGTACCTCAGTACCTATCGATAATCAAAGATGTAAGTTTAGATAACTAGTGGAACTTCCATTGCTTAGATGTACTTTAGTACGTCACCCGTCACTCATCACCCGTCACCTAATATACAAAACTGGGAATTATTACAAATTTCCAAAGGAATTATAGAATCGGCATAGTAGAGGAATGTCTGAAGTAATCGTCCCCCAGAATCAGAGTCGAGCCATGGGTGGTGGAATAAAGAGAGACTACCAGGGAAAGGAAAAGGTGATAGACAGCAAGGCTACTAAGGATATGCCTCGCAACCAATATACTTCCATGTTTGAGTCTTTTCGCGACGAATTGGACGAGCATCATGATCGCCGTATGAAGATTGGAAAGGTTTCCCGAGATGTCACAGCTCTCAGTAAGAAGATGTCAGTTAGGAAGCATTCGAATTATGTCCTCGTCACTGATTGCTAACAGTATCATAGAATCTTCTCACTGCAACGGTAATATATCTGTCGATATTCAATCATTTACCCCTAACAGATATCTCGCAGTGTCCGCAAGCTGAACCAGCCACTCCCCCCTCGCATCCAAGCAGACGTCGATGAGCGTCTAAAGGAGATAGCAGGGCACCTAACTACCATCGAGTCAGACGTGATCGGAATGAACCGTTACCGGTATCCGTTGATATGTCTAGAAGAATTTGTTGAAGCAATCTCGTTCTCTCATTACCTTCAACACCAGAAACTCCTCTCACCGTCACAGGCCCAAGATGCCCTTCCAGCTGACATAGCACTAACGGCCCCTGACTACCTATTCGGTATATTCGACCTAACCGGTGAGATGATGCGTTTCGCAACTGCTATCACCGCGCTAAGCGGAAGCATGCCGGGGTCAGGCACTAAAGGCTCCGATGATGGCCGGACTATCTTGAACGATCTTCAAGATGTAAGTTCCATGCTTCAGATCTGTCCGCCCGCCGGCGGAAAGCCGAGCGTCTACGCCAAGAAGTTGGACATCATGATCGAGCAGGTCCGGAAGGTGGAGAGAGTCGGATACGGTATCACAGTCCGGGGTAATGAGCGGCCGAAGGGTTGGATGCCGGATATGAATGAGTCTGGCGGGTTTGAGAGGGATCGGGAGGACGTGTCTATGGATTGACGTGTCAGGAGGCCCTCTTCGACTTCCACTTAAGGGAACACAACTATACGAAGACTTTTCTTTGGACTAGAGGCGTACAATCAATTACGTTCCTAACTAGATGCAGTCGTCACCGAGTCGGCAGAGTAGCCATTGCTATTCAATCTATTTTCCATTGAAGGAGGATTGCGCAAAGTAGATGCAGCGTGTTTAGCATCCCGAATGCTGTGTGAGAGTGTCCCATCTCCATTCGCCTGGTATATACCCATGCAATATGTGGTTCTACATGCACTTCATCAGCGCATATCGAACAGGAAGATCAGGGGGGCTCCACATCATGTGAATTTCGTTTTCCGAGCCCGTGATTATTGTAGATACTCATGTAATGAAAAGGACGGAAATAAAGGAAGAGGGATACGTAGGTACGGTGGTGTCATCTATATCTTTTTTTCAGTGGTGACCCATCTTACTGTAGGCCTAGCAGCATATTTACCTACTACTAGTAACCCTAGCTGGGTAGTAAAACTAATATGTTCTCTGAAACTTAGGTGCATCGTCCTATTACTCAAGCCTTTGATATAGACATGTGGCGCAGAAGTGATGTGTATCTTACTTGACAATCCCCTAAACCGATGTCGTAAGCCTCTACCTGGGTTGAAATATTGAGAACGTGCCCATTCTCGCAATACTAAAACGGGTAAATGTGTCAAGTTGTAGTTTTACTACGAAAGGATGTATATCGAAACTGGCACACGGCATGACCGGTTAATATCATGCAGCCAACCCATAAAGTCGACATAGACTACATTACCCCTTTTCCTTTTTACAAGGCAATTATCGACCTTATTATATGCTAACGGATTCACCGCAAGTTTACGTTCTCCGATTTTGTTGAATGTCAATACCGCAACTCATCCGCGGCGGTGAACTCCGTCTATTATCGAGTCGCATGTCTTTTGTTTATCAGTACATAGCATTTGTTGTCACAGACTCGAAGTGTTATACCATATTGACACCGAGATGAGGCTCAAACGCACGTGGATGGTGCCAGGAAGCATCTTAAAGTGGATGAGTATGCAGAGTAACCTGTTACATAGTACAAGTAGATCGATATTAAACACTTAAACATTTACTTTCTACCTAAAAAAAACAGGCATATATTATCAGTTATATACAGTTGTCTTGTTAACCCGTTTCAGTGGATGTGGTAGTATTCTTATTTGATTGACATCTTAGCTGGTCGATCTTGGCAAGGAATAATCACCCTTTTCTGAATTGGCGACTGGCTGAGCAAAAGGCCACAGGGGTCTAAATTTTGACATCCTGTAAATGCTACCCTGCAATGCCCCGGATATTGCATTAAACCAGGAGCTCCGGATGGGTTCTCCGGATAGTAAGCTTGGAATTTAATCATTTTCCCTTCACTTGTAATTGTAATCTTATCCTGCACAACTCGGGAGTCTAACAGCTTTAAGATATTATAAACAACAAATCACTTCCACGGTATATCAGTAATGTGTAAACTGGCACGCACATGACGCGTTGCTCTCAGGTTCCTCGGCACCGTGTATTTGTGGGGTTACAATCCGGGGTAAGGCAAGCTACGAACGGCCAAGCAATGCTCGTATCGCGTGGCGTGTAGATTTGCTGCATCTAGAAGATCTTGGGATCCTCTTTGAGCTTGCGCCGTGGCAGTCGCACCAAAGGAACCACCTTATTAAGACAAGTGGCCGTATAGTACAGTTCCCAATTCCCAGTTGCCAATGACATACCACGGCGGGGCGGTGAGAGTTAACTATTGAGGACGATGGTGAGTCTTGGACGAATCTTGGAGATCACGATGGTGGAGGAGGATGAGGGGAATGTTGGCTTCCCCCGCTCTTGTGGGGGATAAGTCCTTCTTGTGAGCCGATGCTCATGTGTTCTTGGTACAATATCTTAGGGCTTTATCATTTCTTTCATCCAATAGCAACAGTAGCGCATGGTCTAAGATCTGAGTATCTAGAGCCTCGGGTCAGCAGCCGGGATGGCTGTTGTTGTCGTGCGGGTGCGGACATGTTATACACTAAAGATGAGATCACAAGTCATGAACCCGAGCCAGCGTCGCGCTTTGTTGTTCTACGCTGTACGGGCCGGCTCTTGCGTCAGCAAAAGACTGAACCGATTTGGAATTGAAATTACGATGATTAGAACGGACGAGTGAACCGAGAAAGGGATATTCGGACGATAGTGCTGACATAGGAATTAAACGTAGGCAATTGTAGCCAATCGTAAGCTATGTTAGATATTCATGTGTTAAACATGACGACTATCCTGTTTGCTTATTGTACTGCGTGTGTACTTCCCTACGACTGGCGACCGAGTACTACATTACGTGTAAGCATACTTCCTAAATCCGTATGGGGGGAAAACTACTGATCTAGATTAGCCAATTTTCCTATCACTGTCGCAGTTAGACGTTATGTGTAACAAGTTTGCAAGCTACCTGTAATCAAACCCTTTCACCGAGTTACTATATTTTCCTTTGCAAACTGCATATACGTGATAGGTAATTTCTAATTTCAACTATGAGGCAACCTTTAACTTAAATATAACTTGAATAACTAAGAAATATCACTAAAGAGAAACATACGGCTCCTCTTAATGACCCGCGGCGTGCCACTTTTACTGTTACCATCCTTGTATTGTCCCTCTTTTCTATCATCTTCTTATGTAGACAGACGTTAGATATCACTTCTGCTTATGACAGGGGGGTTTTTTTCTCGTCGCTAACCAAATAAACTAATATCGCGGAATGGTCTCGCGATAGTGATAAACCCCGTAATCCGGGACTATCTCTAAAGTATTCAGCCAAGCGGTTCTTTTCAACAGATTACCTCACGGAAATAAAATAAAAAAAATGAAAAGGATGGGAGTGGACCAAATGGAAACTCGTCCCTTTTCTCCGGCGCGGCAGGGAAAATGCGCTACGAATGGTAGAGAAAACTAACAGGGATCACCACGCTCTCGAGGACCCTCAAGATGCTAAAGCATTCGTCCGGATTTATTAAGCAAGCAACAACTTGCCAAGCTAAGCTTTAACCCCAGTTTCACGCGTCCAACTATTAATCTGTATATGTAATTAGTGTCCGGATCTAAACGATCACTACTTTTTCCAGAAGCTGAGCCTTTCTTCTTAGCGCCAAGCCACCCCGATTCAAAACTGTCTGGCATGACATTATCAGCATTTGTAAGAAAAAGGGGATTGGGGGAGTAGAAGTTCCGCTGGAGCGGGAAACAATACCACTGGTTTATCACATCCAATTTTTTCCCTTTTTTTTTTTTTTTTTCTGCGCACCCTTACGCACGTTAATCTTTTAGTTTCTATAATAGGTAATTTTTTGCATTTCGCGTTGATTGGAAAATTGGAAACATCCTGAACCCGAACAAATCAATATGGGCTTGCTTATGCATAATTTGTGTACTTATGTATGTGAAATTTCTCTTTTCATCCAACAACGTTACAACCTATATAGAAAAGGTATCTCAATGCAACCCAATCTATTGGTAGCTAGTAGCTATTAGTCTAAGTGATGGCATTTCCTGGGCATTTCTGGGCAACTGGGGTAGCTTACCCCGAATGTTAAGTGCAGAAGCCAAGGAGTACCCCTTGTCTACCCTATTATACCATACATAGTACATAATAAATACTTAGATGCAAGACACGATTTGCAAAGCTGATGAGGAGTCGGAGGGGGAAAAGAGGTGGAGTGAAAATACGTAAAACAAAAATCCTTGTCCTTATTTCCCCACTGCCACGGATGCATGGCGTATGGCTGATGGCTGGATGGCTTGGTTCTCTTTGCATTTTTACCTGCATGAGGACTAGATTTATCAAACCCTAGAGCTATTCGAGTTACTTGAGTTACTCAACCTACCTCTCTTACCTCTCCTATATTATTATTATTCCTCCGTGTCCCCATCACCCCAGACCATTCCCCACCGCTTGGGACCTTTCCATGCTCTTATTTAAACCATAGAGATTCTCCCCGTTCCCCAGCCGGCTTCAGGACCCTTTTTCCTTTTTTTTTCTAGTCGCGGATCGTGAATTCGGAATCTATTACGTAGGCTCCACCCATCACCGTCCACCAACTCACGATGGCCTCTACCGAATTGCATCAGGCGCCTACCGCCGAGAAGGAAATTGGCGGCGGTACTACCACCGGCGCGAACCTCAACGGCGCATCTACCACCCAACGTTACGACTATGGCGGCAACCCGCTCTATCACGCCCATTCCGGCCCCGACGCTAGACTCCCTGCCTTCGGTGGTGAGTTTCAACCCGGCTTGTACAAGCCTATCGAGCATCGCAAGTTTGCAAACCCTGCACCTCTTGGTCTCTCTGCTTTCGCCTTGACTACCTTCGTCTTATCTCTCGTCAACGTCAACGCGCGTGGAGTCGCCATGCCGAATATCGCCTTGACGCTAGCATACGGATATGGTGGTCTCGTGCAGCTGCTAGCTGGCATGTGGTAAGTACAATAATATGACCCCATTGTTCACTATCGTCCCCTACTAACCCGTAATAAAGGGAAATGGCAGTAGGCAACACTTTCGGTGCCACCGCCCTATCGTCCTACGGTGGTTTCTGGATTTCCTACGCTATCGCCCTGACCCCAGGCTTCGAGGCCTTGGTCAATTACCCAGATGAAGCCCAGAAGGCGTCAGTTCTTGGTTTCTTCTTGACGGGCTGGTTCATATTCACCTTCATCCTACTTCTATGCACCTTAAGGTCTACGGTTATGTTCTTCCTGCTATTCTTTACCCTCGACCTCGCCTTCCTCATGCTTGCCTGTGCCGAATACGCAAAGTCCAACGGCGCGGCGGTTTCGGCTGTGAAGTTGACGCAAGCGGGTGGTGGATTTGGTCTGCTTGCCGCGTTCCTTGCCTGGTACAATGCGTTCGCTGGTATTGCCGACTCGAGGTATGTGCCTAACTGTATTCGCTTTGCATATAGAATTACGATTAACCTTGTCGCAGCAATTCCTTCTTCATCATCCCCGTCTTCCACTTCCCGTGGTCTGAGAAAGGACGCCAGGTCCGAGCCACCAAGAGCGAACGTGAGACAGCATAGGTTCGCAATTGAACGCCTAAGGGCTGTTTTGATGCTTTATTGATTTGCGTAAAACGGGTTGTTCTCTTGGTGTTGATAATTAAGTATTAAGAGGGTTTACAAAGTAACCACAGGATAAGTGGTAGTGGTATGAAGTGCAATGGTCGGGGTAATATGTTAAGTTACGATGCATGTTAAATAAAGTATAACATCGTATACAATAATTGACAATTTTAAATGATAAGGTGAAAGAGTTATCTTAGTATGCTAAGACTAGAATCCGAGGAGCAGGCTTCGCCTGCATTTGCCTCCCCTTCGTTGGCGCTACAAGCGCCACGAAACCTTTGGTCTGTATGTTTGTATTTGTGGGGCGTAAAAAAGGCGTTTCTCGAATTTTAATTTATCTTAATATGTTAAGATTTATCTTAGTGTGCTAAGATTAGAATTTAAGGAAGCAGGCTTTGCCCGCTTTCGCCTCCCCGCCATAGGCGCCATAAAACCCTTGGTTCGTATGTTTATATCTATAAAATGTAAGGGATTATCTCAGCAAGCTCAGACTAGAAATTGGAAATAATTTAGGAAGAAGTACCTCCCTTAACCATACCCCTTCCCAACCAATTACACCTTGGTATACCCTTTTAAACCATTTTTTAATTTCTAATCTAAAATAATTTTAAACATTTTTCCTTTAATTAATATAACAATAATTAAATTAATTAAAAATATTAATTAAAAATATTAATTTTAACGCGTTTTTATAATAAATAAAATCTTTATATAAAAATAAATATTAATTTAATTATTTAAATAAATTAATATATATAAAACATACGCATTTTAAATCAAAATTAACTATAATACCAATTATAACGTAATAACTATAATAAACGTTAAAATTTATAACATTATAACGCAATATTATATAAATATATAAAAAAAGTTAAAAAAACTAAATAATTAAATAAATAGTTTTAAATTAAAAAATAAAAGGTATTTTAAATATAGTTATAAGTAATTATAAATATAAACGTATAAGTATAACGTTTTAAAACTATTTAAACATTAAAATTTACAATATTATAACGTAATATTATATAAATATATAAAAAAAATAAAAAAATAATAAAAATAAAAAATTAACTTTAAATAATAAAAATAAAAAATATTTCAAATATTATTATTATTTATTATATTATTGTTAATATAATTTTATTAAATATATATTAAATATAATTAAAATATTAAATAGCAATTAAATTTAAAATTTAAAAAACGTTTTTTTTATAACTTACAAATATAAACATATAAATTATAAGTTTTATGGCAAAAAACAAAAACGGGTAAAGTTTGTTACTTTTTAAATCTTTAGTTTTAACACACTAAAATAAATAAAAAAGGCGTTTTTTAAACTTTAATCTTAAAAACGTTTAAGGTTTTTAACCGCACTTAATATATATTTTAAAATTTTAATTATTTTTAATTATTTTTAATAAAACTATATTAATAACAATATAATAAATAATAATAATAACATTTAAAATATTTTTTATTTTAATTATTTAAAATTAATTTTTTATTTTTATTATTTTTTTTGTTTTTTTTATATATTTATATAACATTGTATTATAATATCGTAAACTTTAACATTTAAATAACTTTAAAACGTTATATTATATTTACGCGCTTATATCCACGCGTTTATACCTACGCGTTTATATTTATAACTATTTATAATTACATTTAAAATACCTTTTATTTTAATTATTCGAAACTAATTTTTTACTTTCGCTATTTTTTTATTTTTTTTATATATTTATATAACATTACATTATAATATTATAAGCTTTAACGTTTAAAAATACGTAATAATTTTAAAACATTATATTTACGCGTTTATACTTACGCGTTTACATTTATAACCATTTATAACCACATTTAAAATACCTTTTATTTTTTAATTTAAAATTATTTATTTAATTATCCAAATATTTTAACCTTTTTTATATATTTATAAAATATCGCGTTATAAAATTATAAATTTTAACATTTAAATTATAACATTTATTATAACCGGTATTATAACCGATATTATAATTAATTTTAACTTAAAACACATACATTTTATTTAATAACTTATTTAAATAATTAAATTAATATTTATTTTTTATATAAAAATTTTATTTATTATAAAAATACATTAAAATTAATATTTTTAATTAATTTAATTATTAATAATACCATATATAAAAAAAATATTTAAAATCGCTTTAAATTAAAGATTAAAAAATATTTTCGAAGGGGTATGCTAAGGTATAATTAATTGGGAAAAGTTATAACTAAAGGAAGTACTTCCTTTTAAACCATTTTTAAATTTTTAATTTAAACTTGTTAAAATAAATTAAAATTAAAATTTAAAAAACGGCGGGGTTTCGCCCGTTTTTACCTCCCACCATAAAACCTATAATTTATATATTTATATTTATAAGTTATAAAAAAAACGTTTTTCGAATTTTAATTTTAGTTAATTTTATATAATATAAAACGAATTAATATACGTTTAAACTTTTAATTAAATTTTTAATAAAATTATATTAATAATAATATAATATATAATAATAACGTTTAAAATACTTTTTATTTTAATAATTTAAAATTAATTTTTTATTATTATTACTTTTTTATTTTTTTTATATATTTATATGGTATTACGTTATAATATTGTAAATTTTAACGTTTAAATAATTTTAAAACGTTATATTTACGCGTTTATATTTTAATCATTTATAATCACGTTTAAAATATTTTAAATTTTAATTATTTAAAGTTAATTTTTTATTTTTATTATTTTTTTGTTTTTTTATATATTTATATAATATTACGTTATAATATTATAAATTTTAACGTTTATTATAATATTTATTACGGTTATTACGTTACAATTAATATTATAATTAATTTCGATTTAAAATACGTATATATTTATTTAAATAATCGAATTAATATTTATTTTTTATATAAAAACTTTATTTATTTATTTTTAATTAATTTAATTATTATTATGTAATTGTTTAAATAAAAAATATTTAAAATTTTTTTAAGTTAAAAATTTAAAAAAAATTTAAAAAAAATATGTTAAAATATAATTAATTAAAAAAAATATAATTAAAAAAAATACTTTTTTTTAAACCATTTTTAAATTTTTAATTTAATTTAATTAAATTTTTTTTTAATTTTAAATATATTTATTTATTTTAATTGCATTTAATATATATTTTAAAATTTTAATTTTTTTAAAAAACAAATTTTTAATAAAATTAAATTAATACTTTGTTAAAAAAAATTTTTACGTTTAAATTTTAATTAAAAAATAATTAAAAAAAGTTTTTAATAAAAGTTTTTAATAAAAATTTTTAATAAATTTATAAATATGTAAAAACGTTTACGTAAGTTTGTAAATGTATATGTTTTTTTAAATTTTAATATAATAAATAATAATAACGTTTAAAATATTTTTTATTATATTATTATTTTTTTTATATATTTATATAATATTACGTTATAATATTATAAGTTTTAACGTTTAAATAATTTTAAAATATTATATTTATATGTTAATATTTACGTATTTATATTTATAATTATATTTAAAATATTTTTTATTTTTTTTAATTTAAAATTATTTATTTAATTATTTAAATTTTTTGATTTTTTTATCCGTTAAAAATATTTTTTACGTTTAAATTTTTAAAAATTATTATAAAAAATTAATAAAAAAATGATAAATAATTAATAAATAATTTTTTAATAAAAAATAAAAAATTAATAAATTAATAAAAAAAATAATTAATTAAAATTTATAAATATATAAAAACGTTTACGTAAATTTATAAATATATGTGTTTTTTTAAATTTTATATTTATATAATATTACGTTATAATATTATAAATTTTAATATATTTTTTAAAATTTAAAAAAACGCATGTATTTGTAAACTTACGCAAGCGTTTTCACGTGTTTATAAGTTTATACAATAAAATCCATTAAAAACATTTAAATATTTTAATAAATTTTAACCAATTATTTTTTTTATTAATTTATTAATTTTTTATCATTTATTAAAAAATTATTTATTAATTATTTATCAATTATTTATTAATTATTTATTAATTTTCCATAATAACTTTAAAAATCTAAACGTAAAAAATGTTTTTAACAAATAATGTAAAATTATATAAATATATAAAAAAATATAAAAATAATAAAAATAAAAAATTAACTTTAAATAATTAAAATAAAAAATATTTATATATAATTGTAAATAGTTATAAATATAAACGTGTAAGTATAAACCCGTAGGTATAACGTTTTAAAATTAATTAAATGTCGAAATTTATAATATTATAACGTGATATTATATAAATATATAAAAAAAGTTAAAAAATTAAAAAGATTAAATAAATAACTTTAAATTAAAAAGTAAAAAATATTTTAAACGTAAGTATAAATATAAACGTTTAAATATAATATTAAAATTATTACGTATTTTTAAATTTTAAAATTTGTAATATTATAATATAATATTATATAAATATATTTAAAAAAAAGAAAATAACAAAAAAAAAATATTAACCTTGAATAATTAACACAAAAAATATTTTAAACATTAATATTACTTATTATATTATTATTTAATTAAAAGTTTAAATATATATTAATTTACTTTAAAATATATAAAATTAATTAAAGTTAAAATTTAAAAAACGTTTTTTTTACAACTTATAAATATAAACATATAAATTAAAAGTTTTATAACGTATGTAACGTTAATAAAAAAAAGGCAAAAACAAACAAAACTTATTACTTTTTTAACTTTTAATTTTAACATATTAAAATAAATTATTTAAACTTTAAGTTTTTAATTAAATAAACAATGGTTTTAAAAAAAATTTTATTATTATAATAAATATTTTAAAAAATTAAATATTTTTATTAATAATAATAATTTTTAATTATTTGTAAT